CTGTAAAAAACATCCTATAATATCTTCAGAGACCACCATGGAACACCAAACAAGTAAAATCACATCAAAAGTCAAGCAAAAATCCCAGTTCACTAAGTCATTAGACTTTATAAAAACCCTAGTCTTCTATCATTTTCATTTCCAATTGTATTTTGTGTTTTTTTTATTTCAGTTTCCAGTCCTTCAGTCAGAAAGACATCTTCATTATGTAATCGACACTTTTCTACTGCACTGAGGTGGCAGGTTGCACAGACTGAAATAATAGTACCAACAGAGCTATGAACTTTCCCCATGCATCTTAATGGGGCGTTAACTTTAGAGCCTAGTTGTGACAATTTAAATGCTAATACTGTTAAAGCAAATAGTCCAGAACACAAACATACTCAGCTTGAGTCAGTGAAATTTAACTAAAGCTTCATTTGATTTGGTTAGGCTACTGCAAAAATAATGCTTTTTCTCCACCACCCTGCTAAATTTTGAAATAAAGTCCCTGTAGTGCTCCTCGTAAAACTAACATTGATAAAAAAAGAAAAAGAACGTTAAAAAGTAACATGCTCTACTGGGAAGTGTATATGTCAGAATCACAAAGTATATAGAGGTCAAGGACAGTGTGGCTGGGCATAAAACACACAACATAAGAAACAACTAACATGGTTCGTTTAATATATCTATAATCCTAATGCCCAAATTATGATCTCTAAGTATCACTTTTCACTAAAAGAGAATTGAGACTCCTAAGAGAAATGGCTGATTCTGAGGCAGGAAATGAGTAGGATGAGCCTGAAACCAGAAAAGAAAGGCTATCAAAGACTACTATGGGGACCAGCAGATGGCATAATGGTTACATAGCTGAACTCCCACATAGTCCACCACGGTCTGAGTCCCTACTCCAGTCGCTTAAACCTCACGCTGGGCATTTGTATGTGCTGTGCCCAAACTCCTGAGAGGAAAATGGAGAAGGGATTGCAGTATGGCCATCCTCCCTGGGGGGTGATTTATTGCTTTCTATCTGTCTCTCCAGTGAGCACATGCACCCTTTGGCAAAAATCTCTCTAAAAAACAAACAAACAAACAAAACAAAACTAAAAACTACTGTGATTTGTCAAAAAAATTTAAGAATTAATCTGAATAAGTTCTCAATGGCCAAATACCAGAAAATTTTAACAGGAATAAACAGAATAACCTCAATGGATTAAACCACACAAATGTATTTAAATCCATGAATTCAAAATGAAACTAAAATTACAAAAACAAAACAAAAAAGAAACAAAAGCAAGGGACCAGCAGGTGGCATAGTGGTTGGGGCACTGGACACTCCTAGATGGCTTACCACTCAACCCTGGACATGGTGGCTTGCTTACTCTCTCTCTCTCTCTCTCTCTCGGTGTCTTTCTCTGGTCAATTAAGGATAAATGAATGAATAAATAAAATTAAATAAATAACATTTTAAAAACCCTCTCAGCCATATTTGGAGGCTTCTCAGAAACCATCTCATTATTTTTTTTTTTAATTACTTTATTTAACTTCCTCTCTCTCTCTCTTGCTCACTTTCTTTCTTTTTTTTTATTTAAATATGACCAGAGAGAGACAGAGTGAGAGAGAGAGAGAGAAAATGAGAAAGCAAGCTGCCAGGTCCAAACTGAAGTCAGTCATGTGGGGAGTCCAGCCGCCCTCCACCACCATGCCACTTGCCGGCTCCCACCTCGTTATTTTGAAAACTGATAAATGAAATGAAGGAATTGACCTTTACACTACCTTTTTACTTTTCTTTCTTTCTTTTTTTCTTTCTTTTTTAAAAATTTTTTTAGGTACATGGGCTTGCTGGGGAGAGAAAGAGAAAGTAAGAAAGCACTTCTAAGAGCAAAAGGCATGCTTCTATCCCTTTTCCTTTTGGGATTTTGGACATGCATGAGCATGCACCTGCCATGTTGTTCAAGCCACTGGGTCCAAACTTGAACCAGTCATCCATGTGGGATCCAATGGCCTTAACGAACAAGCCAATGGCTAGCCTAATCCTACCTTTTCTACATGATTGGTTCCACAGGACTAGCCAAATAGATGTTACTTTTATGTAAGTATTTCCTAAAAAAAAAAAAAAAAAAAGATTTTTGCTACAGGGCACATGCGCTAATCGGAGAGACAGAAAGACAGAAAGGGAGAAATCATCCCCCAGAGAGGATGCCATGTTGCAATTCCTTCTCCTCCCTTCTCCTCTTGGGATTTTTGGGCATGCATGCTTACACACCTGGCGTGAGTATGAAACCACTAGTCTGGGACTCAAACCCCAGTAAATGATGTGGGAGCCAAGCAATGTAACCATTATGCCATCTGCTGGTCCCACTTACAAACATTTATTAAATGTACTTGGACCAGCAGGTAACATAGTGGTTAAGGCTCTGGACTCCCACATGGTTGACCATGGTTCCAGTCTGGTTGACCATGGTTCCAGTCCTGGACCCAGCCACTTGAACACATGTGCATGAGTGCCCAAAATCCTGAGAGGAAAGTGGAGAAGGGATTGCAGGGTGGTAATCACCTCTGGGGGGTGATTTCTTGCTTCCTGTTTGTCTGTCTCTGTGGTGAGTGCATGCTCCCTATAGCAAAAATCTCTCAAGAAAAAAAGTACTCAAAACCACCTGTAAAACAGGGTCTGTGAGTGATGATTAGGAAGAAAGTTTGAATTCACCTACAATTAACAGAAAATAAAAGTGATAAAAAATCATGCTTAGGGGACCAGCAGCTAGCATAATGGCTATGTCACGGAACTCCCATGTAGTTGACCACGGTTCGAGTCCCGGACCTGGTGGCTTAAAACTCATGCCGGGCGTGTGTGAGTGCATGCCCAAGGTCCCGAGAGGAGAATGAAGAAGGGATTGTGGCATGGCCATCCCTCCTGGGTGGGAGATTTCTCGCTTTCTGTCTCTGTCTTTCCGGGGAGCACAGGTGCCCTATAGCCAAAAAAAAAAAAGAGAGAGAGAGAGAATCATGCTTAAAAAGCAACGTGAGGCTGGGCAAGCAGATGGCATGGTAGTTAAAGTGCTGGACTTCCATGCATGGCTGACCATGGTTCAAGTCCTGGATGATTTGCTTTCTTACTCCCCCCACTCCCTCTCTCTCTTTGGTCAAAGTAAATAATAGTAATAATAATAATAAATTACATAATTCTTTAAAAGGAAAAAAGAAAAACACCATGAGGTTACAACCAGCAAAATCCAGACTGTGAGAAGCTCTATAGGAAAAATTACCTAGTTTCTTCATTTTTTTTAAACGTTTTTGCTCATAGGGCACATGCACTTACCAGAGACAGTGAGAGCGAAAGTGAGAAATCACAACCCAAAGAGGACAGTCATACCGAAATCCCTTCTCCTAAGATCTTGGGCATGCATGCACATATGCCCAGTCTGATTCTCTAGCCACCAATTTAGGACTCAAACCACGGTCAGCCAAGTGGGAATCTAGCATAGTAACTATCATGCTACCTGCAGGCCCTATGACTTAGTTTCTTCTAAGGAAATAAAACAAAATTAAATGAAGAGGTATAATAAAGAGAACATATACAAAACATTATGGGCCAGCAGGTGCTATGGTAGTTAAAGTACTGGACTTCCACATGGCCAACTGCAGTTTGAATCCCCAGTCTGGTGGCTTCCTTTCTCATTTTCCTTCTCTTTCTCTCTCTGATGAGCACACACACCCTATAGCAAATTTTAAAAAATAATTTAATTAACAATTCTTTTCTTTTTTTTTTCCCAAGGGAGATTTTTACTATTGGGAACGTATACTTGCCAGAAAGACAGAAAGCAAGAAATCCCCCCACCCCTAGTAGGGATGGCCGTGCCTCAATCCCTTCTCCTCTGAGGATTCTAGGCAAGCATGCACACGTGTCCAGTATTAGCTTTAAGCCGCTGAGTCCAGGACTCAAAGTTGGCCATGTCGGAGTCCAATAACATAACCGTTACGTGTCTGCTAATTCCTATAATTATTATTTAAAAATAAGTAAATAAAACACTAGAGGGCTTAGGGGTTGGGAGAGAATGTCATGGTTAAGAATTCCACATGGCTGACTATATGGTTCAAGTCCTGGACTTGGCAGCTTTAAAACATGCCAGGTGCATATGCATGCATGTCCAAAATCCCAAAGGGAGAAAAAAATAGGGAAGAGATTACAGTATGATCATCCTCCAAGGGGGATACTTTCTTGCCTTTTTTCTGTCTCTCTCCAGTGAGAGCACATGCCCTCTGGCAAAATACAAAAAAAAGAGGCTAGAGATAATCAATCACAATCTAAGGGTCTTATTTGGATACCTCATTTTGCTTTCAATTCATACAAAGTTTTTTTTTTTTTTTTTTTAAAAAGAGAATTGAGAAAATGCTTAAAAGAAATGTGTTTGCAGGGGCCAGCACGTCATGTGGTGGTTAAGGGCACTGGACTCCCACATGGCCAACTGCAGTATGAGTCCTGGACCTGACAGCTTGCTTTCTCAGTTTCTCTCTCTCTCTCTCTCCCATACTCTGTCCCTCTCTGGTCAAATTAAAATAAATAAATGGGTAAATAAAGTTAAAAAAAAAAAAAAGAAACAAAGAAAGAACTGTGTTTTGATATTATTGTTCTGGGCTGACCCTGTGGTCTAGTGGTTAACAAAGCAGATCCCAAATGACCAACCACACAGTTCAAATCCCAGCCCTGGTAGCTTGAAAAACACAAAAGGCACATATGTTTGCATGTCCAAAACCCAAGAGGCTGGACAAAAAGAGGAGGAGGAATTGTGGCATACCCATAACCCATTGGCAGATACTTCCTCTTTCTCCATCTCTCTTTCTCTGGCAAATACATATACCCTCTGACAAAGTAAAAAAACAACAACCTGAAATCTGGTCAAAAGTTTACACCCATCCTTTCAAATATAAGACCTGCAAATAGCCAATGTAGAGAGAAAACAGAATATTTGTCAAAAATATGTTGAATTTACAAACAAAAGAAAACATTAAGAGACCCTTACCCACAGCTCCAAACATCTATGGCTGGTGTGTAACGCTCCTCTCCCAGAAGCAGCTCTGGAGGTCGGTACCACAGAGTAATGACTTTGTTTGTGTAAGGGCGACTAAAATGTAAAAAAACAACCATAACATAAATTTAAAATGACTTCTGGTGAAAATTATTCATACAACTAAATGCAAATAGAAATAGCTGTCAACTGAAGACTGTTAAACAGCTTCAAAGGAACCTAACAGCCCCAAAGTAAACTAGACCAAAGTAGGAGATGAAAAAAAGAAATAACTTCAGGGACCAGCAGTTAGCATAATGGCTATGTAGCTGGACTCCCATGTAGTCGACCGCAGTTCGATTCCCAGACCTGGTGGCTTAAACTCACGCCAGGCCCATGTGTGCGCGTGCCTAAGATCTCGAGAGGAGAATGGAGGAGAAGGGATTGCAGTGTGGCCATCCCTCCTGGGGGGTGATTTCTCGCTTTCTGTCTCTCTGTCTCTATCTTTCTGGCGAGCACATGCGCCCTATAGCAAAAACCTCTCCAAAAAAAAAAAAAAAAAACTTCCATTCTAATTTGAACAGACTTATTACAGCCATGAGCCAATACAAAAATTTAGGCAGAATTTATTTTCTAGACTCTAGATGGAAACATGTTCAGGTTACCAGGGAACTCTGACAGTTGTTGCAACTTGCAGAATACCAGAATATCCAAGAAAGATTCTCTTCTATTTCTCATATAGAATTCTGATAAATCCTTACCTCTCTTCAGAGTTATAGAGTCGAGCAAGTCCAAAATCTGCTAGTTTGATTTGTCCACTGTAAAGCAAAAAACAATTATTTTTGTCAGCAATAGCATTGACCTCCAAAGTATATAAAAAAAAATGCAAGTACCAGGGCCGGCAGGTGGTGTGGTGGATAAGGGTGTTGTACTCTCACATGGCTGACTGCAGTTCGAGTCCTGGACCTGGAAGCTTGCTTTCTGACTTTCCCTCCCTCCGTCCCCTCCTTCCCTCTCTCTCTCTCTATTCCACTCTGGTCAAATTAAAATAAAGTTAAGTAAATAAAGTTAAATAAAATAATTCTTTAAAAAAATGCAAGTACCAATTTGGGAATTAAAGTAATTTCCACAAATGAATGTTAACCTCTACTCTCAGTTCTGTTCTTTTTTTTTTTGGAGAGATTTTCACTGTAGGGCGCGTGCGCTCGCCAGACAGACAGAGAGACATAGAGACAGAAAGCGAGAAATCACCCCCCAGGGGGGATGGTCACGCCGCAATCCCTTCTCCTCCATTCTCCTCTCGGGATCTTGGGCACACACGCACACGCGCCCGGCGTGAGTTTTAAGCCACCGGGTCCGGGACACGAACCGCGGTCGACTACGTGGGAGTCCAGCGACATAGCCATTACGCTAACTGCTGGTTCCCCTCAGTTCTGTTCTTAAAGGTCATTCTCCCTGATTAATCCTCCTTTGACTATTCCAGTTCATAATAACTTGGGATTTTTTGGGGCACCACTATTTTTTTGGGTTTGACCATTTTTTTTTTCTTAAGAATTATTTTTATTTAACTTTATTTATCTTAATTTGACCAGAGAGGGAAGGAGTGTGTGAGAGAGAGAGAGAAAGCACGAAAGCAAGCCCCAGGTATGGGACCTGAACAGTGGTCAGCCATGTGGGAGTCTAGCGTCCTTGACCACCACATCACTTGCTGGCCCCAGATTTGACTTTTTAACTCAGTATTTATTTCATTACTTGATAAACAACAGTGACTAGAACTTACTAGAACTAGACTGAATACTTATTATTGGGGGAAAAAAAAGGAAAATAGACTGTTCTAGATTAACAGAGTTTTAAGGTTTTTAAACATGATTTTATTTATTTTAGTATAGAACACATGAATGTGCTCACCAGTGAGAAAGCAAGCCCCCAGGTTTGGAATTCAAATAGTGTTTGCTTTGATTAATAGAGGTTTAAGAGGCCCAGCAAACATACTCCATAATTCTTGATTTATTCTGATTTGAAAAAACTAGCTGCAAAAGACATTTTGCATATAACTAAAATACATAAAATTTGTACAGGGGTATTAGAAGTTACTAGGAAATAGTTAGATAATTTAAGGTCATATGGGATGATGTCTGAAATTTACTTTAAAATAACTCAAGCAGGGCCAGTCAGTGACATAGTGGTTAAGGAACCTGGATCCCACATAGCTGAGTATGCAGTTCAAATCCCAGATATAGCAATTTGAAAGACAAGCCAGGCATATCTGTGTGGAATATCTGCATGTCCCAGAATCTCAACAGGAGGGAGAGATGAGGAAAATGGATTAGGCTTGACCATTTCCCATCAGGGGATGCTTGCTCACTTTTTCTTTCCTGTTTTTTAGAGATTTTTCACTTAGGACACATGTACTTGCCAGAGAGAGAGAGAGAAATCACCCCACAGGGAGGATGGCCTTGCTGCAATCCCTTCTCTTAACAATGGTTGGACATGTGGGAGCCCCGCAATGTAACCACTACCCCATCTGCTGGCCTCCACTTCTTTCTTTTATCTCACTCTTTCTCTCTTGCATACACAAGCCCTCTGGCAAATATTTGTTTAAAAAATAGAAAAATAAAAAATATGGTAAAATAGGGGTCAGCAGGTGGTGTAATGGTTTAGGGCGCTGACTCCCACATGGCTGACACTGGTTCGGGTCCTGGACCTGGCAGCTTGCGTCCTTACTTTCCCTCTCTGGTTAAATTTAAATAAGTAAGTAAATAAAGTGAAATATTTTTTTTGAGAGGTTTTAGCTATAGGGCACGTGCGCTCGCCAGAAAGACAGAGAAAAACAGAGAGACAGAAAGCGAAAAATCAACACCCAGGAAGGATGGCCATGCCACAATCCCTTCTCCTCCTTTCTCCTCTTGGGTTTTTAAAAATTATTTTATTGAACTTAATTTATTTATTCATTTTAATTTGACCAAAGAGAGACAGAGTGAGAGAGAGAGAGAAAGTGAGAAGGCAAGCTGCCAGGTCTCAGACCTGAACTGCAGTCAGCTATGTGGGAGTCCAGCACCCTTAACCACCATGCCACCTGTCGGCCCTATCCTCTCGGGTTCTTATGCACCCATGCACACGCTCCCGGTGTGAGTTTAAGCCACTGGGTCTGGGACTTGAACTGCAGTCGACTACATGGGAGTCCAGAGACATAGCCATTACACCAACTGCTGGTCCCTAAAATACTTTAAAACTATGGTAAAATATAAACTGTATGCAAATTACTTATTAACCATATCAGTGTCTCAATTCTCTTACGAGCCCCTTCTACAAACATACTGCCACCACCTCCTATGATAAAAAGATATAGACTATCGCCTTAATATTAAGTTATCAGGAAAGTCATGATGTGTTTTTCTAAGAAAAAATGTGTCATGGCTTTCTTGACAACCTAATAATGTTTCTCTTAGAGAAAGTTCTCAAATTCTCATTTCAAGAACTTATAAGAAGTTTCCTGAGCAGCATTCTCAAAAATGTTAATTCAGCAGGTCATAACCCATAAATCTGAATTTCGACCATGTGATGTCAATGTAGCTGGACTGAGAAACTTTGAAAATCACTCATTTAAAAGAATCATAGGCAGGTGGTGTGGTGGTTAAGGATGCTGGACCCCCACACGGCCAATCGTGGTTGGAGTCCTGGACCTGGTGGCTTGCTTTCTCAACCCCCACCTCTATCACTCTCTGGTCAAAATTTAAAATAAAGGGACTAGCAGTTAGCATAATGGCTATGTCGCTGGACTCCCATGTAGTCGACCACAATCTGAGTCCTGGACCTGGTGACTTAAACTCACACCGGGCCCATGATCCCAAGATCCCAAGAGGAGAACAGAAGTGATTTCTTGCTTTCTGTCTATCTTTCTGGCGAGCGCACGCACCCTACAGCAAAAACCTCTCAAAAAAAAAAAAAAAAAGGGAACCAGCAGTTAGCATAATGGCTATGTCGCTGGATTCCCATGTAGTCGACCGTGGTTCTCATCCCAGACCCGGTGGCTTAAATCTCACGCCGGGCGCGTGTGCGCCCAAGATCCCGAGAGGAGAATGGAGGAGAAGGGACTGCGGCGTGACCATCCCCCCTGGGGGGTGATTTCTAGCTTTCTGTCTCTATGTCTCTCTCTGTCTGTCTGGCGAGCGCACGCACCCTATAGCAAAAAACCTCTCCAAAAAAAAAAAAGGAAAAAAAGTTTAAATAAATAAATGAAGTTAAATAAAATAATCCTTTAAAAATTAATAAATAAAAATAAAAGGATTATAACAAAGGGGCAGCAGGTGGCGTAGTGATTAAAGATGCTGAATTTTCACATGGTAAACTGAGTTCAAGTCCCACACTTAGTGGCTTGCTTTTTCTCTCACTCTCTTTGTCTCTCTCTGGTGAGCACAAGTGCTCTTTAACAAATTTAAAAATAATAATAACAAATTTAAATAATTATTTTTAAAAGAGATTTAAAAAAAAGAATCCTAAATGGAGCTAGCTAGGTGACATAGTGGTCAAGACAGCTAGATACCATATGGTTGACTGCTTAGTTCAAGTTCCAAACTCAGTGGCCTGATGTACATGCTGGGTTTATGTGTATTTATGCCAGATATCCTAAGAGAATGGAGGAAAAGAGACTGTTGCACGGCCATCTACCTTAGGAGAATTGGAGCAAATTGAAAGAAAAAAAGATTATAACTACATTGCACTCTGCTTAGTACTCTATCTTTGAAAGTAATGTCAAAAAATATTTTAAGAAATCGTGGGGGTGGGGAGGGCGGTAAGTGGTGTGGTAGTTAAGAGTGTTGGACTCCCACATGGCTGACTGGAGTTCAAGTCCTGGACCTGGTAGCTTGCTTTCTCCCTCCCTCTCTCTCACTTGCTCCCTCTGTCCCTCTATGGCCAAATTTAAAATAAATAAATAAATCTCTGGATTCCCACATGGCTGACCGTGATTCAGGTCCTGGATCTGGTGGCTTGATACTCACACCAGGTCCAAGTATGTGCACACCCAAGATCCTGGGAGAATGGAGGTTCTAGAAGGGACTGCAGCATGACTATCCCGATTTCTCACTTTCTCTCACATTGTCTCTTTCCTTCACCTTCACCCTCACCCTGTAAGCACACATGCCTTAAGGCAAAAACTTCTACAAAAAGAAAGAAAGAAAGAAAGAAAGAAAGAAAGAAAGAAAGAAAGAAAGAAAGAAAGAAAGAAAGAAAAAAGAAAGAAAGAAAGAAAAAAGAAAGAAAGAAAGAAATTGTAACACACAGTTGGCCCTACAGCCCTAAGGGAGTCAGATCCCACATGGCTGACCACATTTCAAATCCTGGCCCCAGTGGCTCGAAAAACCTCCCAGGTACATGTGCATGCAAGCCCACCATCTCAACAAGATGGAGAAATAAAGAAGGGATTATAATGTAACCACACCCCATTGAGGGGTATTTTCTTGCTCTGTCTCTCTCTAGATAGCACATATACCCTCTGGCAAATAAAAAGAAAAGAAATTGTATCACAAGGGACCAGTAGATGGCGTAATGGTTACATTGCTAGACCTCACTCAGTCAACTGTGGTTAAAGTCCTGAACCTGGTGGCTTGAAACTCACACTGGGTATATGTGTGTATATGCCCAAAATCCCGGGAGGAGAATGGAGGAAAAGGGATTGTGGCATGGCTATCCATCTGGGGGGTGATTTCTTGCCTTCTGTCTCTCTCTGTCTGTCTGGTGAGCACACATACCCTATAGCAAAAATCTCTCTTAAAAAGAAAAAAAGAAAAGAAAAGAAAAGAAATTGCATGACAAAATG